AGAGCACAATGATGGTGCCAACTTGGGCCAGTGAAGCAAGGTCCTCCACAACAGACTGAAGAACAATAGGACAGCAACTTGTCTGTTCCTCTTCCCCCAATTCCCCAGCGCTGTTCCCATCCCCCAATTCGCCAATAAAAATCTTAAAACAAAACAAAAAATGGTGCCATTTGTATCACTCATATGACCACTAAGGACAGAGCACACACTCCTGCACTGCCTTCCTCCATCCCCTGCTTGCCATGTCTAGATACTAGTATATGAGTCCATATTTAGTCATCTTAATCAAGTTACAGTACTCATCAGTGCTCTTTGATTGGAAGATGCAGATGCTCAATCTCAAGGAAAAATAACTTAATTGGTTCGTGTAACTGTAAGTCCAGAGGTATAACCTCTGAAAAAGGGGTCCAGGACCTTCAGTAATTCTGTTGGGCTCTGGCTGCATTCCTTAGCCCTCTGTGTGTGTTTGGTTTATTCATGGCTGTGTCCAGGAGCTCAAGCTATATCACCCTTGTTTCTACTTGTCTGTGCCTGGCTTGATGTTTCACACTAGGACTAGATGTGTGATTGACAAGACAGCCACAGTCAACCCCAGATTTCTAAGTCCCAGCTTAAACATCCTACGTGGGAGAACGTTGCACTCCAACACTTCCAGCAAATAATTTTTTGGATACTTTGGGCACTCTGACTTGAGACATGCTCCTATACTAAACCTTTTAGCTGTAGAAAGGAGTCACTTGGATTGAGTGACTGACTGACCCTTGTTCGTCTTACTGTGGCAAGGATCAGAGAGGGTCAACCCCATCTGAACACAGTAGAATTCAACTGAAGGAGAAGAACTTGATACCTACATTTATCAAAGCAGAAAAGCAACAAAAACAACCAAACACCTTATAGTCCTGAATTTTAAAAATATTGTGTAATACTGCTCACATCTATTAAAGAACACATAACCATGATGATAATGCTGGAAGCTAAGTGATGACTAATATTCTTTCTACATCTATGGATGGGTGAACGTTTCCACATTAGGGACAAGAAGTGTTCCTTTGCTATTTTCTGTTTCTAGGAATCTGATGCTCCTAGATGGAGTTGCATGACTTGTAACCCTAAATATCGCTCTCATGGCTAATATCCTACAGGCCCCAGGGAATCATTTCTCCATATATATGTCATTCCCTATAGCCTATATTTTTGAAATGAAAGGCAACAATGCTTAACTGCCATACGTGTTAATGGCTGTTTCCTTGCCATTGTCAAACAATACTTCCAGTGCAAGAAATGTTTGAGCAGGAGAATCATTTAGATAAGATAAAAGACAAATTAACTTGTCAAATTCTTTCTCACAGGCAGTTAGAATGCAGTAGATTTTTATTATGAAACATCATTTCCCATAACACCAAACATACTGTTTCTTGCTTCTTTTCATGTTACAATTTGTGGTTCCACTTTAACCATAAATTATAACAGCAATTACAACAGTTTCACATGGTGGTCGAGACACATTTTATAATTTTAAGCAATTTATATTACTTTTATATGTGCCATGAATTGTGATACCAGTTCAAACTAGATGAAAAACTGAATGCTGGAATTCTGAGTAGTTTTAATTTTATTGACATGTAAGATTAATGTAAATGAAAAATTTTTTACATTTTAATGTTTAATACTCATTATTTTTAAATTTGTATTTGATTTACAAATTTAGTAGATAATGTGGATGTTTCAGAAGAAATATGCTTTGAAAAATGTAGAAAATAATTTTAATTTTTGAATTTTTACATTAATTTTCATTTACTTTTTAATGAAGCTATGTTTAAGCTTTGTACACAATGAATATAATTACATGTTGTCTTTTAATCTTTTAGAATAATTGCTGCCAATAGGACACAAAATAGGTGAAAAATATTGATTTTTTTACTGCATAATTATTTTGCTTCAATGAAGGCAAGAAAATACATTTTGTGGAATAGTTGTATAATAATAAATTATGCTGATTATTGTAATTCATCCATACATTGATAGTTCATTAACAGTGCAATCGGACATGTGCAATAATAACTAAATCCTTTTGTCTTCAATATTTTGCTAATTTTCAGCCTCATGAAATCAGTGTTACACGTCTTTAGATTGTGAAGGCATAGTTCTTAAGTTAGGGGAATAGAACATATATTTAACAGAATGTAGGCCTCCATTTTTACTCCAACTCTTGTGATCCACTAGTGTTAAAGGCAGGACAAACAGAAGAGGTTAAGATACTTGGTCTAAACCTGGATGTTGTGAAAGAATTTAAGGTGTTAATAAAAGGAACATTGAAATTATTTACTCTAGGGCAAGGCCCGTGAAGAGAGGAAAATGAAGTCAGGAGGTAGCTGATAGGTGAGAGAATAAGGATCAGCTGAAAGATTTGGTTTATGCTGAAGGGGAAAGGACAGATTTTGGTTTTTTTCCTATTCTTCTGGATTGTTTGAGTTACTCTGACTTTTCCTGTTTTTGTGCCAAATGTGCTGTTGCTTTCTCTATTTAACCTGGCATATATAACAAACTCATAATTAAAAGTTCCCATTAGACATCTTTTCAGTGGGTTTAAATCTTTGTGTGGTAACTCAGGTGTGTAATAAATTTATACACATAAATATATATGTATACTTAATTTTTTTTCTTTGAGCACGCTAGTCTAGAGGGTATCATAAAACATATCAGTCAATTCTACTTAATCTAAGTGAGTTCAGAGTTTTAAACCTCTGTGTGCCTGTTTCCTCATCTGTAAAATGGTTTTTTTTGTGTGGTACCTACATGATACGGCTGTTGTGAGAATTAAATTACATAGAATAGTGTTTGCTCTGTAGAAAGCCCTATTTGTTTGCTATTATTATTATTATTATCTCCACCTTCATCCTTGCTGTTGGGCCACATTCCAGGTGATGATGGCGGCTCCAGAGGGAGCCAGGTATGGGACAGGTGCATCCCTCTTTGATGTTCATCATGTATGCATGCCGGCATCTTTGCTGAACAGTCACATTCCTTTCAAGTTTCCACTCAGGTTACTGCCACATGCAGCCTCCGTTCTGGTTTCACTTCACACTTTGAAATTTCCACACCTCTTTGAGCACATTTAGCTCAGGAAAATCCTGTGTCAGACACATGTACTTAGATCATGTAAATGGCCCTCTGTCTTCTAATGCCCTACTATGCTGCTGAGTAAGAAGGGAAGCCAACAAAGCTCACTGCCTCCTCTCACCCCACCTGGCAATGGAGGCGCAAACCCGTCATCTCTCAGATCTTTCCAAACATAGGCAGGATTTCTGTCCTCAGGGCTCAGCCTGGGGCTGAGAAGCTGGGGGAGGACACAGGGCTTCAGGAGGGACCCTAAACCAAATTATTTGACTTCTATAACTAAATATCCACAGCTGCGCCCCAGCTTTCCACCCTCCCCCTGACTTCCTGCTTTTCTGTCTGAGCAAACCCCCTCTCCCGGTGACTTAGTTGACTAACAGGCAAATTACTGATTTGATTTAGAGAAAGGACAAAGAACACAAAGAAAGGATCCATGGTTTATATTTCAAAAGATTATTTTGTTCTAGTAACGCTTTGTGTTCTGAGAAAGAAAACTGACCTCTCATTGAGGTGTGTTTGACCCTGTCTGTAATCTCCAGAAGGGCGAGAACCAGTTTTCTATACACAATCTATTTCACAAGAGTAGTAGTTTCCTCATTATACAACGAAGACTGTGGTTCTCTGAGTGACATTTTCTCACCCTCCCCAGAGATAAGCCTAAACAGTGGGTTCCATATGCAACTCCCTTGACAAGAATTGCCACTCATTTTATAGGGGATTTCCCTCCTTCAAGTGTTGGCATAAGGCCTCTGCCATCCTCCCTTACCCTCGTCTGGGGACCTTGGCCATGACGCAGGCTGGAGCTGTTTGTCAAGAATAAGCCCTGATGAAACCTCTTGCATAAGGGATGAAGACTGGTTTTGCTTATAGATAGGGTGCTTTGTACTCTTCGTCTAAGCTTCTGACAGTTTTGAAAGTGACACTATTAGTAATTATGCCAGGACAACAAGTGCATTTTGGAGTATTCTCTCTCCCACTCTGCAAACCAGGCTTTACAGCATTCAGTTTCCAGACAATCGAGCTGGTTTCCCATCCCAAAGTTCTAGTCATATCCACTCTCTCCACGTAATGACTGCCTAGTTTTTTGCCATCAATTGTCCAGTCCAAGAAAATACTGGCTGAGGGCCGGCCAAGTGGCGCGTTGGTTAAGAGCTGGCTTGGGACGCCAGAGGGCCCCGGTTCGGATCCCACATATGAGGGCCAGTGACACTGCCCTCCACAGCTAAGATGCTGAACAACAGTTCAACCTCGAGCTGGACTGTTGTGAGTCACCAGCGATGGCGTAGGCTGCAGCCCCTGCTGCAGTGGGTTGCCATGGGCTACCGTGTATAGCCAGTAGCCAGCGTGAGCGGGGTGTGAGGCTGTCCAGAAGCCAAGACAGAGCACAATGATGGTGCCAACTTGGGCCAGTGAAGCAAGGTCCTCCACAACTAGACTTAAGAACAAAAGGACAGCAACTTATCTGTTCCCCTTCCTCCAATTCCCCAGCGCTGTTCCCATCCCCCAATTCCCCAATAAAAATCTTTAAAAAAAAATGAAAATACTGGCTGAGCTTAGGCTACATAGGGTCAGTTGGCTCCTCTCTGATTTGTGAAGTCCTCCTAAGCCTGCGTGGTCTGTTGTTTTTAGCCATGCTTTTTTTTCAAGAGTCTCAAAATGCAGTTTTCATAAAAGCAAAGAAAGAAAAATGCTTACTCCAGACAAAATGCTTAGCAGCTGTCTGAAACAATTCTCTTCCTGAGCCTAAGTGGTTCTCTCTGGCTTTACCGCAAGTGCAAACTCCTCTCTCAAAGCACGTCTGTCTCCCAGCGCAAACCCCAGACCACTGCTTGATGGCAGCTCTGCAAAGTAACCGGGGCTCTCTGTCTTGCTGTGCTTTCATAGCTAGCTTTTATAAGAAATTCAGAACCTAAGGAATGGGCTCTAAATATAGTTTCCACGCCTTCCTAGGTGCTCTCCAAGGATTTAGAGAATTGAATATCTCTAAAAAGCAGCAATTTATAAGGCTCTGTTGACTCTTGTGTCTTTCCTTTTATGGATTCCCATGGATCTACCTGGAAAATGTAAAGCATTCAGTATTTTGCTCACACGCAGTGGTTTATCTGAAATTAGTATTGACTTTGGAGTCTGCCTCATCCCTGCAACCATCATTCCCTCCCATCTATCACCTCAAGATAATTTGGTTCTGTAGGGCATGTATTTGTTATAGACATGTAGTGGGTACTACTATTAGCCCAAAAGACTGAGTTGTATAAAAATATGTAACTTTATTTTTCTAAATTCAAGCTTTAGTTTCTATTGATGTAGGAAATGTCCAAACCTGTAGAGAATGATTTATAAAGGTTTATTTGAGCCAAACTAATGACATATGCTGGGGAGCAAGATTGCAAACGCTTTGAAGAATAACAGTTGGCAGTTTATTTTATGCATTTGAAATTAAGGAGGGATCCCAAGGAAGAGTACATGAAGGTGGGAGACAGCAAGGTGGGGATGGATTACAGGATAGTGAAGATTATGTAAGGAGGAAGCGTCTGAAAAGAGGTATTGCAAATGTGTGTTAACCTAGACACACAGAAATAATGGATAGGGTTTGCCTGAGGCAAAGGTAAGCCTTTTACTAAAGAAGTTTTATGCTTGGGTGACTACCCACCATGACCTGCCCAGGTAGAAATTTATTATCAGATCTCCCTTTGCGGTTACTTTCTGTAGAACCCCGTTTTTGTCCACAATTCAAATAGGAGTTCCACAAAGTAATAATCTCTGTCAATTCTAGAAAATCTCAATTCATTTAAGGTTTGTTTTTAGCTGATGAATGTGTCATATTTTATGAAGAAAATTGGGCAGGTATCTCCTCATCTTCTCTCACCAAATCCACACTAGCTTCTCTGCTTCAGGGACGCGTACCTTCTGCCTGCCTTCTCTCTCAATGAAAGAAATGCCCCTACTAGCACTAACGCAACCCCTCCACGGGGCTATCTTACTCAGACCCTGCTTCCTTCTCAAGTACTTATACACTGAAACTATACCTTTTTCCGTAATTTTCCCTGATACCCTCAAGTAGTTGAAAAGGTCAGGCTTTTTCAGTTCAAAAGCATTAGTTTCTGAAACTTTTTTTTTTTTTTTTGTCTCAGCCTTCTTTTCAGTGGTGGCAATAGGTGCCTTGAAGTCTAGTTTGAAAAGTCATGGGACAAAAGAGAATTTCCAGGATGAAAACACATTGGTTAAACAGTACCCAATGTATTATCTTATTGTATTTTGATTTGCAATGTCCTTGAGCTTTGACCTTGCCCACAGCAGGCTCTAAGGCAGACCTCTAGAGTGCTCAGTGCCTCTGCTCACACCACCACTGCTCCCCTCCACTTTCTCTTTTCTTACTACCAATAGTCAATGGTACCATCTCCATGAAGACTCTACTGAGGACTAAACATTGACTTCTCCCAGCTGATAATGATTAGTAATAGCCTTACTGTTCATGATGTCCAAGCCTTCCTGGTCATCTTTCATAACTCATATTCTCATCCATTATGGCTAGAACATAGCCCCTCTTGCAATCCCCTCAAACTTCACTGTGTCAGGTGGCAGGAATTCACAGTCCAGCATCACCAAAACCCTCATAAACATCATCCTGTTATCTAAAATTTTCCTTTACCTCCTTGCTTTAACAGAATTCTGGCTTTCCCTGAACAATAGGGAACATTTTCCTCCTGTACCTCCTGGACCTTCGACCTAAAGGTAGAGTAACTTTCCCCCTTCTTCCCTCCAATTCTTTCCGATCATTGTTCATTTCCCCCTTTTCCCTCTGCATGTGCGTAGCCTCCTTAGAAGACTATCTTCTCTGCTATCCCTGCTTTTTAGCTTAAGAACTTCTCATCACTCCTCTTCATTTCATGAAGACCAAATCACCTGGCTCACTGTCTCTCTCTTAAACTCCTCATCATTTTTATAGCCTCATTATCCACATGGAAGATCTTTTCAACCTCCAGGCCTTGCAGTTCCTTGGTGTCTCTGCCAATTACATTGTTCTCTACCTTTACTCACCAACCCTTCATCTGGTCATATCCCAAATATTAACTTCACCAAATAACTGTACTACTTCTAAATTCTTATTCTCTAACAACCATTTGTTTTCTTTTCTGTTCATTACTTCTAATACTGCTGACCCAACAATCCTTCGAAACGCCAGGAATCTCCAATCAGTTCACGCTCCCATTTCTACCCTGTGCCTTATTCCTTTCACTCCCTTACTTCTGTCAATACTTGGCTTACAGTTCATGATTTATTACTATACTTCCTGTGTGTATCATGAATTATGCCCTGGATCCTGTGTTCTCTTGTTCACCTAACTGTTTTGTTCCTACAATCATTCCCTCTCTACTGCACAATTCTCATTAGCACACCAACATGCTGTAATATCATCCATCTTAAAAAACAAAACAACAAAAAAGAAACAGTTCCCATGACTCCACCTAAATTTCCAACCACTTCCCCAAAATATGGGTTCTTCTTTATGACAAACATTTCAGAAGACTTTTCTGTATTCACCGCATCCAGTTTCTCTCTTACTTTCTCTTGAACCCACTGTCATTCAGTCTGTGGAAATCACTCCTATCAAAGGCAACAATGACCTACATGTTACCCAGTCTTAACATAAACTCTCTTTATCTCCCCCGGTTTCTTGTCCGCAATTGACAGTGAATCAGTCAATCATTCTTGGAGTGCTTCTTCCCTTGGCTTCTGAGACATGATACTGTCCTTGTTTCCACCTAACTCGCTGGACACTGCTTCTCAGCTTCCTTGTCTGGAACGTCTACTCTTCCTCCTGATTTATTAATGAATCACTAATCTGTGTTGTTCACATTCACAAGTCCTT